GTTTTTCTTGTGGGGGAAGCTCAGCTCAGCTTTGGGCTTCCGTCCAAGGCCCGGGATCGCCAACTTCTCGAGCCTCTACCAGCAGAGCGGCTGGTTGCCCCCGACTTTCCTGGTGCTGATCTGTGTTGCTTCCAGCATCTTCAGTGGGGCCTCTCGGCGAGACCTCAGTCCTTGAACCGACGTTTCAGGGCAGTTTCTCCGGCACTTGAGGCCATGCTGCTGGCAGCAATGCGTGCGTACCCAAACAACCAGGACATCCGGGATGGGTACCGTGAAGCCGATGCATCAAGAGCTACTGCGAAGGAGTGTCAAAGGATGCATACAGTACATGACTGAAAAACCAAGTGGCTGCGGAATCGCCAGGACTTCGACGTCCGAGTTGAGTATGGTACGCTCTGCCGGCACTACTTCAATTCGAAAGTGGCCAAATTATTCCAAGGCTGGTTGCCAGATTGGATCATGTTGAGTGTTGAGGCATCGCCTCCTTGCATGACTTTCCTTGAGTTTAGAGTCTATAGTCTATAGAGTCTAGGAGCATCCCTTGTTAGGCCTCTTTCAGCTTGCGATGCTCACGGCCAACATCAGTAACATCATCCAGACAGCGCAGGCAGCTGAGGGCTGCAGCTGAGTAGAAAGCAGCTTAGCATGTTGGAGCGCCGGCACTGCAGGCGCAGGAGAGAGGGTTCGTCGGTCGTACCTCCGCTGCGGGTAGGTCTTCGACTATTTCTTCGACACGGTCTTCGGTGACTCCTGTGCCCTCATGTTCTACCCGAGTGTCTTCCATCCATTTTGCCAGACTTCCAACCAGGATGTAACCCCCTTCGGTGCTGGGAAGGCCGGCGGCAGCTGGAACCCCTGCCACTGATTCTGCTCCTGCTTCTCATGGAGCTCCATGTGTCCCCTGAATCCTAAACCAAAGAAGAATCGCTGCATGTACTTCCCGTAGCCTTGCGCAGCTCAAGCTGGGAGGTGGTCCTCTCTCTTGGGATGTGCAGTGTCGGACTGGTCAGCATCCCTTTGGGCTATTGGAACCTGGAGGACAACGTGAAGGTGAGAAACCTTCGGGATCCAGTTGGGTTTTGGCTGATGTGGGAGTTTCCGAAAATTAGGGGTACCTCATTTTGGGGGTCCGTATAAAGCTCGGATCCCTGCAGGTGCAAAACGCAGCGCTCTTCGTTATCCTTCTGTCGCAGCTCGGCAGCGGAATTTGCGGAAGTGTTCACGTTCACGTCCCTCAGGGAGGAAGGAAAAGAAGGGTCAAGTCTCAAGGTTCGTAGAACCGTAGAACATGCAGAGGGCCCTCCTGTACGCTACCGTCCCGGCTCAGGATTTTGCTCTGGATGTTCATCTTCTGTGCCCTTGGCCTCGAAGCCGAACGGGTGCCAGCAGTGGGAACCTCCCTTCACAACATGGGGGGCACTATCCTCTTTAACTTCATGCTGCTCGGCGCGCACCCTGTTGTCACAACCTTGTAGTCCTTTTAAATTCTGAAGTTCGTGGTCTCGGCGGGCAGGCTACATTGCAGGACTCCCGTTCTCAATCGGAGCAGCCCGACTGTCACCGGCCTCGTCAGGTTTATCTCTACGGTACCCTCCTGGGTCTGCGAAAAGAAGCCTGGAGCACCTCGGAGAGCAGCTGAGCTCCGGTGCCGAAATTGTTGGCAGCAGCCTTTCTGCTGCGAGAAGGCCGACGCAACATCGAATACTGAGTGGAGCATGACAGCCGCGACTGCCCAGGTTCCCCCACTAAGAACGATCCTGCTAACCCTGGCACTGGCAGTGGTGGGATTCTTGGACTCGCAAGTAACATATGACTTATGACGTAAGCCTCTTGCAGGGTGTTGGCGCTAAGCTCGAAGCTAGTCCATGGAGGCGGTGCAAAGAAGCGACAGCTTGATAGCTTGAGGATATCTGATGGTTGGCATCCTCGGGGGCATGGCCTTCGAGCCCTACTTCAAGACAGACAACACGCTGCTGTCTCAGCTGAACCACATCTCGCCGCAGGACCAGCGGCGAAACCCTTTAAACATTCCATTCCCGGCGTTTTGGCTGTCTCGAATTCCTGAGACGCGGAGCATGCAAAGACCCCTAGACTCTAGACTAGATTTGCATGAGAAGCGCACACTTTTCCCAATGCGGGTTCCTGGTGGCCATTACGCCTTTCACGCGAATGGAGATTTCCGGCCGCACAGCTGCTTCTCGCCAGGATGGATCGCGATTGGTTAGATCCACAGTGCCAGCGGCTGCATTGAGGGGGGCTTTCAAGAGGCTTCCAGCTCCCATTGCCCTGGTCTCCGCTGAGGCCTTCGTCACTGTACAGGCCTACGCCATCTCGGCGAATTTGGCCTCGATCCCCATCTTCTCCATTCTCATGCGCTACAACTTGATAGAAAGCAGGCTCATGGGCCCCAAGGCCAGACCCCTGCAAGACTAACACCGAGACATCTCCGGCTGAAATTTGCGCCTTGCAGGTGGCAGGTGCTGCTTCCGTACTTGTCCCCTTTGGGGTGTCCGTCGTTCTCTATACCGGCGAAGGCTGGAAGCTTTGCCTCCATCTCCTTTTTGAGAGAAGAGCCTCGGAGGCTTTAAGAATGCCGTGGATTTCTCCGGCACTTTCACGTCCTCCTTTGTGAATCTCATGGCGCCCAGCCTCTTCTTCCTCTCGGCGCTCCCCGGCCCAGCCCCGCTTGCAACCCTTTCTCACCGTGTCTCACCCAGTTGCCCAAAACTGAGGCTGAGGCAGCCCGAGCAGGCCGCAACGCTGATGAGCGCTCGCCGTGGCCCCAAGGGGGGTGCAGAAAAGTGCTCCAACTCTTGACTTTCACCCTTTTCGAGGCGAGTGCCTGCATCTCGCAGCTTGGCAGAAGAATGTGGGGGGGGGGGGGGGCCCGGAACGAAACCCCGAAATGCCTGAAGGTTTCATGCCAAAAAGGCAGAAACCGCAAGAAGAACCGCTCTGGCGGAAGCTCAGGCGGAAGGGGAAAGGCCCTTCTGGAAGACCTCGGCATGGGAAAGCCTCCAATGCCAAGCTGCGAAGCCGGCCCGGCGCATGTGGCAGATCATCGCTTGGGCCGCTTGGCCCTGGGGGAAAAAGCTGGAGCTCCAAACAGACAGAAACAGACAAGCTTTCTGTGAGAAGGAGAGGGTTTCTGCTATGCAGGCACGAGTACGTGGGTAGGCTTGTATGCATGGATATAGAATCGTTTCAGTAGAAGCACCAGCAGGGATTCCGGGTGGTTCCTTAGGCTGTCGGTGGGCCCTTTCTGCGCTTCGCCTGTAGGTGAATCTGTCCTTGATGGCGGTGCTCACGCTTGTCTCCATCGTGGACCAATTTATGTAGCAGCGTAGCCCATCTTAGGCTGGTGTGAAGGCACCGGCGGGAGCAGTTTTTTCACGAAGGTGAACAAACGCCCCCCCAAATTTCCGATTGTCATTGCCTCTGTAACATTGCAGCTTTACTGCAATGCTATCTCAGTCTTGAGTCGAATTGCTCGGACTGCCGAAGCCTCGCGAGGGCACAACATGGTTCCCCTTTCCTCGTGGGAAAAGGGGGCTTGCAAGGCTGCATCAAGGGAGCGGAAGATCATGGTCTAGGAGAGCCCGATTTTTTCAGGAGCCGAAGCGAAGCCCTCTGCCGTGTTCTTGTGTGCAGGCCTTCTCGTTGACGGTGCTGAACTGGTCTGAGCGCGCCGGGTGAGGGTCCTCGTGTCGCAGCTTTTGCAAACACCGGGGCTTGACGCCTCGCACCTGCAACCTTTCAGATGCCACAAGTGCAGAATGCAAGTATAAGAGGCAGCCAGAGGTTGGAAGTTCACCGAAGCCTGAGCCTCCAAAACCACGAAAGATCTCGACGAACGCTCTTCCGAGCTCTGGCGGTGCACGACAAATTCAATGTTGCAGGGAAGTCACCTCCAGAGCTGAGGGACCTCCCCCAAGGGCAGAGAGCCGTGAGAGCCGGGAGCCAAGAGAGAGGCTTCTTTCCCAAAAACAACCAACCAAGTCCGCAGCTCGTTTTACTCTTAGCCGGTTTGGGGCCCTAAAAAAGGGGCGTCCCCCCGGTTCAGGGATTCTTGTACTTCCTACTACTTCCGCGCGCGCTTGTGCCAGGGAGCTTGGAACAGCAGCATGGTCGGGGCCGGAGCCTAAGAGCAACAACGCCTGGAAAAGCGTGACTCATAGGACTTCTGAAGCAAACAAGATCGAGACGGCAAGGCTCCGTACACAAACGATTGGTAAACAAAACGCAGAGCTTGCCAAGGCCGCAGATATTAACGGTGCAATTACACAGCTAATTTTGACTGCAAAAATGTCTCACGGCCAGTAGAGTAGTCAGCATCGTACTTAGAAAAGGAGCTAAGGAGAACCCGGAACCAGCCTAGCATGCGTGTGGTTCTGCGTTGTGTGGCGGTACTCGAACTGAAGGTTTTACTTGGTCATATCGTCGTTGTTGCCACATTGCTGATTCCGTGTGGCTTCCATGGCAGATGCAGGCTGTGTCACTAGTCTTACCTTTGGTAAGAAGGGAATGGAGGAATGGGGTACAGTTGTAACTACTATTACTACCATTCTGCCATTCCCTACTGACCAAAGGTAGTAAGAGTCAGTAAGAGCTTCCCTGGCAGCACCTTGGCGACATGTATCCATGTTTTTTTGTCGGGCACTTCGAGGTTTCACTTCAGCTCGGATCGGGCCTCGCCTATGCCTTCAAGCTCGACCCTCGGAGGAGAACTTTGCCTTCCCCGGCACAAAGTGCAGCTTGTGCGAGGGAGGCCAACCGTAGCCTCAGCTTTCTACTCGGGCCCAGCAAAGAGACGCAGGTTCACGGCGATCAAGCTTCTTCTGGGCGGCCCAAGCGACGAGCGGCCTGGCTGCATTTAGGCCTGCTGCAGACTTGCAGCCTTTGCAGCAGGCAAGCTTTGTTTCTTCACCTTGAGGCTCAGAACTCAGCACTTGCCTCTGAAGACACACTCGTCTCTCCTCTCTTCCCCAGCCGCTCAGCCGATGCCTTTCGGTGCCGCCTTTGGCTGCTTGCTCGGGGCTGGGAAAACCTCGCCGGCTACTGTCGCTGGTGCAGTGCGAACGATCCCTCACCGCCAGCTGTACATCAGCGAGCCAAATCCAGTCTACTTCGGGAACCGTCCGAACCCACAGCTTGGTGAGCCAGGCTGGACGAATCGGAACTGGCTGAAATCTCGGTTCCACTTCAACTTTGCCGAATACGACGGAGGGTCAGATAGTTTCGGCGTCCTGCGTGTCATGAATGACGACCTCGTGCAGCCCAAGCGGGGCTTCGGAATGCAACTTGGCGGGACAATCCCCTCTGTCACTCTGTTAGCGTTTTTGATCGCGGCCGTACATACATGCATGCATACATACGACGTAAATGTGTATGTTTACAAGTATAAACAATTAGATCAATGTATGTATATATGTAGAGAGAGAGAGGGGCCAATATCCTAGCACGACTGTCTGTACTATAGGTCCCACTTTTGCCAAAAGCTGGCCCGCTTGGCCGCCTCTTTCCGCCTTTTACAATTCACTGCACTCCCGTCATTGCGACGATGTCCGATCCGCCTTCTACATGTAATTCGCATCCTCTCCTTGTTGCGTGAGAACAAGGGGGGATAATTAAACCGGCTTTTTTCATGCCCCCTCGAACCTACTAAGGGCTAAGGATAGTTGCCATAGGGGCGCGGAGATGAGGCGGGGGTTGTTTTCGCGTTTAGTGTTCGGGGGGGCTTTCTACTTGTAATCCCGGGGCATATTCGGTAGTTCTACGCCGCGCTCTGGAACGACCCCAATGCCAACCACTCACTAACACAGTGGGGGGGTTGGGCGGGCCTAAGGCCTGAGGGTCTCGCGGGACCCCTAAGCCCAGCAGACAGACAGACAGAGGGGCCAATATGGCCGGGGGGCCTCAACAGCCCCTTACGCCCTGCGGAAGAAGAGAGAAAGGGACAGAGAGAGAGCGAGAGAGACAGAGAGAGCGAAGCGAAGCGAAGACAGAGAGAGAGCGCGTGCGTGGGTGTGTGTGTGTGTGTGAGAGAGAGTTATGCAATATGTTGCAGCCCATAGAGATGCTATAGAGTCCTGGGCTGCCTGTAGCGGGCTGAGGCACCCGCATCGGGACATGGAGGTCATTACCTTTATAGTCGATGGCCAGCTGACCCATCGAGACTCCATGGGCACAGAGGAGACGCTCGGTCGCGGTGGGGTGCAATACATGACCGCTGGCACAGGCATCCAGCACTCGGAACACAACCTGCAGAACGAAGCCTTGCGCTTCGTGCAGTGCTGGGTGGTACCTCGCAGGCGGGGGCTACGCCCGAAGTACGGCTCCATGGCCGGCACCAAGGAGAACGAGGCCAGCATCACAAAAACGTGGTAACTACAGTTACAGTTGTTAGGGCCAGGGGACTACGCAGACAACAGGGACTACAGGATATAGACAGAGGGTTTGGCATATCATTGTTTTGCTCAGGCCTTGCGACAGAACCAGTGGGCCCACATTGTGTGTGACGCCGAGGGAAGCCAGAAGGCACCAGTGCGAATATATCAGGACTGCAACGTGTTTCTCTCCGAACTCAGTCCAGGTGTTAGCCTCCCCAAGATGGAGTTGCAAGCAGGACGACAAGGTTACTTGTTGTGTGTGGAAGGCAGCGTGCAGCTAGCAGATGCTGATGGCAAAGTCCAACGACTCCAACAGCACGACGCTGCAGAGCTTACGGGGCCCTTGTGCCTTCAGCCAAAGGCTGAGAAAGCGGCTATGTTACTTCTTTTCGAGATGGAGCAGACGCACAGAGGCTACTAGAGCCGGAGTTGCAGGGGGTCTCTGGAGAGATTATGGACCCCGGTGCAATCTTTGCATGCCTGGCCACTGGATATATTATGGGCCGATTGCATGCAGTGTTCACGTGGCAACCGCCGAAGCTTCCTCTACGTAAAGGTGGCGCCGGTATGCCGCAATAGTTATGCTGATGCGCGCGCGCGTCTGTTTACTTAGTTTAGGTGCCGATTGCGGGCATCGGCCGCTCCGGCCCGAAAGGTTTCTCTGTACAGCGATTTTGGAAGCGTGGCTTATCCTGCACTGCAGTGCGAGCACCAAGCAACAAGTGCCGGCTCCGCGCTACGAAACCTGGAGCTCAGAAGACGAGCACCGAAGCCATTCTAGGCATCAAAATGTCTTGTGCGATGGCTTGATCATCTTCCGATGGGCAAGAACCAAGTAGGCTTGGAAGACCTACCATCCCAGGATCCTTGCTTGGCACAATTTCCCTGTTGCTGATTTGTTTTCGGATGCCGAGGTTCGTGAATTCGGCCCAGCAGCCGCCCTCGAAGGCACAGGTGGCCTTCGTTTGCAACCCAGTGTCGGCCCAAGGTATTGAGCTTTGCGGGGACGGCGGGTTTGAAGGAGGGAGGGAGAGAGTTGCGATTATTGTGGATATCATGAGTATGATAATTCTTGGTATACTGTACTGCTTGCTGGTAGTAGTTTCTACGGAAGAAGAGCAAGCCCAGCAAGACTGGCTGAAAAGATCGGATGATGAGAATCATGAGCACGGACGGAACTACGACCCATAATGCTAACGTAGGCATAGCAATCAGCGTGACACGGCGTAACATCAAGTGACAGCAGTTGCGCTTCCTATAGGGTTCGTGGGTTCTGGACGGGTACATCCCTTGCTTCGGCTGAAGGTGACCGGATTGGTGAGCCTCACCGGCAAGTCTTACGGAGTCAGATGGCAGTGAAGCTATCTTAGGTTAACATCGTGCGCTCACTGAAGAGAACCTCTCTGAATAATGGCCTCCACATTGCATCAGCCTCATTGAAACCTGAAAGACTCAGGCAGAATTCGCCGATATGTGACCTATTGCCCTGCTTCGTGAACTCAGCCATGCAGGAGGCAAAAAGAAATGGCCTCCGCTCCGTTGTTGTCATCAGCTCTGGAGCCAGGCTTGGCCATCCTGCCGCTGGGCAAGGACTGGACGCTCCCCTCCATGCCTCTGGCGGTGGCAGCACCGAGCTCAAATTGGGGGAGCTGGCAAGGGAGCGAAAGGATTCGAAAAAGCCGAGGTTGCAGCCAGCGCTACTGGCATCTTGCTGACCCTCGGCTTCAGCTAAGCATCTCAGTGAAACCACATCTCATCACACATCTCACAGCCATCAGCCCGCCCGCGGGAGCCTGGGCCGAGGTTCCAGCTGCGTCTGACGCAGCTGACCTCGCCGCTGACAGTCGGGAGCCGAGCCGCCGAGCCGCCGCAAGACCGCAACTCCAAGCTCCCGCACAGCTCCCGCACTCTCTTTGGTGTCAGAGTCCTCCCGCTGTGGAGGTGTCCGTGCTTTCCGTCTTCCACGACGTTGCGATCGCGAAGGGCTCATGCATGGCAGATGCATCGGGCGGAGGAAGATGGCAGCCTTGAGGTGCTCTTCTTCCTAATTGCGGATGGAGAGAGGCCCTCCCACTCTTATCTCTTTTGCCAGACTTTGCACAGTCCTTCGTATTCCTTCCTCCCGGAGGTTTACCACGGCACAACAAGCTGGCTATGCGGCCGTTCTCTCGGACCTCTGCGGCAGCCGTGTTGCAGGCTTTGCACTGGTCATGTCACTGTCGAACCTCACTGCAGACATAAGCCGGCTTACACTAGCAACTTGCCGGCAGAACAAACCGACGGCCCATCCGCAGAATCCGAACATCTGCAAGAGTGTAGCTTGCACTGTAGCTCGGAACATTCGACAAGTACTTACTTGACAGGATGCTCTCCGGCCATGGCTTCAAAACACCCGTCCTCGTCCCCGTCGGTGCGCAGCCCCACCCACGACATGATATCCGGTTCTGGAGGCCTAGGCCTAGGCCCAGGTGGCGTGCTGGACCCAGGCGAGTTCTGAGCGAGAAGATTTTCGAGCGGCGGCAGGCGCTGCTCTCCGGGCTCTGTGGCCTCTCTGCCGCCCTCGGCTTGGGGCACCGCGCGCGGGCGCTCTCCTCCGCATCACGCGGCGTCGCGCGCAGCGAGGTGGTGCTCTGTGAGAACGGAGAACTCTCCGTGGATTTTCCGATTTGGAGCGGGGATGGGCCAGATGGGACTCGGGAAGCCACGGAGGAGCTCCTGAAAGCAAGCGGAGGCAGTGCAGCTGCTGGCGCTGAGTCTGACTGGGCCGGCCTTTGGCGTGTCACCTATGCTCCGCACCTCCGCACGCTTGGCTCCCTGGCTCTCACACAGCTGGATGTCTACTATGACATTGCTCCCCCAAAGGCCAATGCCTCGCCCAGAATCAGGTCCTTTGCTCGCTTCGAGGCTCTTCGAAGTATGATCAAACTCTTAGCCGCAGTCTGTTTGGGCCTCTCTATTCCTCAGAATTCCCTGGCAGGGCCCCTTTGGCCGCGGTTGGCTGAACGCAGCCGGAACCCTGACGACGCTTTCCAGCGATGAGGTGGAGGTGAACTTTTCAGACTTCTGGATTGATGCTTGTCTCCCTTTTGGCAATTTTGGATGTTTTCCATCTAGTAGGTTACATCTGCCTGACTTCCGGCCCCACGAATCACGTGGGATCATTCGCTTAAGGTGCTTAAAGGCCTGATTCTTTCGAGAGCTCCAACATAACTCATGACGAGAGCCCGGAGTCCCAAAAAAAAGGGGGCCCTCGCCTTGCCGCCTCGCGCATGGTCTCCGTGCAGCCAGGATTTCAACTCGCCGCTCCCGCGACCCGAGCCCGAAGCAGGCGACCGAGTGGGCAGCGACCTCGCCAGGGCCCGGGCCCGAGAGCCGGCCGAGCCTTGCCTCCTGCGTGCTTTTGCGAGAGTCAGAGACGAGTCCCGAAGCACTGAAAAGTATTACAGTACCGAAGTAGCAGACGCGATGCGATGCGTTCTGCTGTGGCCCCGGCTCTTCCGGCGAACCAATTGCTCTTTTCAAAGACTTGCGCGTGCGGCCTGTTTGGTAATGCAGGCGACCAGGAGGGGTCTGCGACACCGCCTGCGCACTGCAAGCAAAGCGGAAGCAGACAACTTAAAGAATGGAGCTCCCCAATTTCCCTCTATACTTTCCAGCTAGTGACCTTTGTCATTTGCCATAGAAGTTGCCCCAAAAAGCCCTGAGCGTGTCTCAGGCCCTCACAGGTGCTGCTTGCTGCTCCCTAGACCTCCCAGTTCTGTCTCAGTCCACAAAGCTCGCAAATTCAGCCTCTGTTATGCGCGTTCCAATTCTGACGGGACGCCAAAGGCAGCCCTCTCAACTTATCAAACCGTTGTGGCTAGGTCCGCTACATGTAGTGTCAGAGCATACTCGGCCTGCACAGTCCACCTTTCAAACGGCGGTCTCGGAGCATCTCGCGTTTCTTCGGCTGTGTGCCGAGTCCGAGGTGTTCTTCCTGCGGGACCTGAGTCGCTTCCCGGCTCCTGGGCCTCACAGTTGGAGTTGGGATGGAAGAAGCTAAAAAGAGCCTGCACCTGCGCAATTATAAGCATCCTATATTAGGTCCTATATATAGTCTAGCCCGCCGATAATTAGGAAGCCAGCCAGCAGCAAAGCAATCTAGATGTAACGCCATCCTGACGTCCACTTCTGGCTTTGTGAAAGCCAAGGTGAGGAGCCTGAATCTTCAGACCGGCCTGACTGTCTTCCGCTTCCCTCCTCTGGGCGTGGAGATTTCTGCCTGCCGAGTGGGAGAAAGTGGCACCAAACAGCGGCCACTGAACTCCTGAGAGTGTCGAGGTCGAAGAGCACCGGCTTGATCGGTTTAGGTGAAAAGTTGCGAGAAAAGGCGACCCTTTGTTGTAGACTTCTTGATCTGCATCCTTGAAGCTCCGAGAGCGCCCAAGGTCTCCGCCGCAGGGGCGGTCTTGTACAGCTGTGCCAAGATGCGTCCGGGTCCCGGTGGGGTCCCGGCGGCGGGGTCCCAGCTGGAGGAAGTCAGATTCTCCAAGCTCGCTGAGGCTATTCGAACCTCGCCGAGGCACCGCGGCACCGCAGCACCTCATGCTGGGCTCGGGATCGAAAAGACAGGAAGCTGCACTGCTGCCCTGAGGAGAGCAACTCCGACGAGATCGATTCCCAGGTGGAGCAAAGTTTCAGCATGACGCCGCTGGCGGTGAGGCTTCACTAACTTTCTTTAGATAGAGCTGCACTTAAAGCGCAGCTGTCGCAGCGATTTAAACGTCGCCCCACCCTTGGTCGCGCTTGGCACCAGGAGAAAAAAAACGCCTGCTCGGCCGCGACAGCGACGTTGCAATCCCCCATAAACCCTAATCAACTCCAAGCTGACCCACGGCCGTCCGAAATGTCCGGCTCTCTGCGAGAAGGCCTCTCGCTCTTAGCTGCCAGCTTCCGAAGGTGCCGAGAGCCGTCTCGGGTCCAAGCCCCAGACCCCAAAGGCTGCAAACAACATCAGACACACGCGCCTCTTGATTCGAAGGTCTTGGTAGGATAAGACTGGAAATTCGGATTCCGTTCCGCAAATATCCAACTTCAACTGCAATATAGCAACAGCACCACCAGCAGCAACGGCACCAGCATCCGCACCGACAGCAGCAACAGCAGCAACGGCAGCAGCAGCAGCAGCAGCAGCAGCAGCAACAGTGGCAAAAGCAACAGCACCAGCAGCAGCAGCAACAACAGCAACAGTGGCAAAAGCAACAGCACCAGCAGCAGCAGCAACAACAGCAACAACAGCAGCAGCAACAACAAGAGCAATGCAGTTGGGGTGTGTGTGTGTGTGTGTGTGTGTGTGTGTGCGTGTGTGTGTGTGTGTGCGTGCGTGCGTGCGTGTCTGTGTGTGTGTGTGTGTGTGTCTGTGTGTGTGTGTGTGTGTGTGTGTGTGTGTGTTGGTTGTGCCTTAGCTTCGTAGAGGCCTACAGTAGCCTGCATTTGCCTCGGGCTGAGGCCTTGGAAGCCCACAGCGCATGCTGCGACATGGTCCCGCCAAAGGCTTGCCTGTCTCCGCCACTAGCAGTTCCTACATTATCGCTATTTCTCTAGCTGATGCATGTATGCAGCAGAATCTTAGATGTGTGTATATGTGTATACTACATATATGATTGTCACTACACAATATATGTATCTGTCGCGCCTGCAAAGTGCGACAGTACCTCTGGGTCAATCGTGCCAGGCGGTCAATGCGCTCAAGTCAGCTTTGGTTTCTTGGATGAGCTCATCATATGGACTGTTCCAGAAGTACATGTGCTGTGGGAAAAGACGCTGCCACGTCGCTGGCAGTCTCCGGTCCCGAGGTGAATCAGTTCGGTGAATCAGCGCGAAGCACCGTTGAAAGCGAGGTTGGGCAGCTGTGATCTGTGGACCAATAAAGTGCAAGCCAGTCTCTAAGCTTTTTGAGTTCCGACTGCTGCCATTCATGCTGGTGTTGCAAAAGGAGTGTAATTAGGACAACGGTTTCCGTGGTGATGACCAACACATCAGACTAGTGTCCGGAAGGTGGCATCATTTTTGCAGGGCCGGACGCTGCTGGCTCCTCAGACCTCCGGCAGCCTCTTGCCATTACCACGCCTGGCTCTTTTGCAAGAAGTTGCACTACGAAGCCATGTCGTTCGTGTCTACACAAAAAGCGACTAAAGCAGATACACCCCACACACAAGCTTTTATGCACGCATCTGCTAGGCCCCCCGCCATCCCCGCGCCCGTAGAACCAACGATGTGCTTTTGGGGAAATCAGCAGAGCGGAGACTCTACAAAACCCCAGGAGAGGACTTTGACGAGTTTGCGGTTCAATGCCTTGTCGGTTTATGGCCCATACTGCAGCCGGCAGCGGCTTGCTTCTTGATTCGTAGGCCCATGGACCACATGTGGCGAACGTAGACGTAGGCATGCCCCCCGACAGACTTCATTGATGGTCTCCGCACTTTCTCGATAGGACTTCACGAGTCAGATCTGCACACAACCACATCAGGGGCAGAGAATCCCGGTGCGATGTCCCTGTCCCGTGCGCCTGGATGCAGACTGGCGCAATTGCTTTGGTGCTGCGCGTTGCTGCGTCTCTGGAGCTGCTTTCAAGTAGCCTTCGTGGTTTCCAGCGCCACTCCGCGAAGCAGGGACATTAGGCAGAGCCTGCGTGCAGCCACGAGCCGGGGAGGCAGGAGGTGCCAAGAGAATCCCGGCACATCCTTGGTGGCGGATCTAGTGACTCTAGTGCGCAAAAATGGGGGTGCACCACAGGTCTCCCAGACCTGCTGACTTCACACGCGCCTGGTGTCATCGTCTTTGGCGCCGAATACTGTGGCCCTTGCAAGGCGACCTTGGTCCGCTTCTTAGGGCACCCGACAGCTGACGTTGCAGAGGTGCTCTTGCGACGTCTCGATCGGCTTGGCCTTCTGGGGCCGAAGGCCAGCGAGAGAGAGAGCCGAGAGCCGAGAGAGCCGAGAGAGGGGAGAATCGCTTTCTCGCGCAAGCACTTGTGCGCGTGAGGGTGCCGTTTATGCAGATGCCGAAGACCTCGCCCCTGGCGGCGGCGCAGCCACTCGGCCTTGACAGCAGCCGGGAGCAGCCGGGAGGCTGAAGGAGAGTCATGGCAGGAGCTGCTGAACGCGGTGCTGGCCGGAGCTCCTTTCAGCCCGCCGCTGCCTGTGCTGGCCGTGCTGGGCCCTGGGGAGTTGCAACGTCTCGAAGCTGGCCAGGCCCCGCCGCACGGCACGGCACGGCACGGTAGCCGCGGCGGGAGTTCTTTGCATCGTGCTTGGCAGGAGCTCTTGACCCTGGCCGATGACGAGTTGACGGCACTGTGTACCATCGACTAGCCCTACAAACAGCCGTCCCACACAAGGCCAACATGGAAGCCACGGAGTCACGGAGCAGCAACGGCCTCACGTCCGCCGCCACGACTTCAGAGAGTGGGAGACGAGTTCACGGGCCAGCGCTCGTGTTGCTGAGTCCTTGCGAGAAGAGAGGAGCAGATGGAGCAGTCTGCGCCCGCTATCGGCGTCCAAAAGGAGAGCTGGCAATTAGACTCCGAGATGCTCCGAGAGACCCCACTGTTGCTTGTTTGCCTGAGAGCGGCCGCAGCCGCGATTGGCTCAGGCCCGAGAGACGAGGGGGGGGGGCAGCTACAGCACCTTCATCTACTTTTTCAGACACCCCACACCACTCCCTACACTACATTCCATTACACCCTGACCCAAAGTCCCAACACAAGGACAGGGAAGCGTGACAGGAGACGCAGGCGATGTCCGTTCTCCGCAAGGGAGCGGTCACCCAGACGCAGCTCGCCCGCAGGGAAGGGGGGACGGACCGGCGGGCCGGGAGGCGTGTCTGGGTGTTAATGCCGAGGGCTCTCTCTCGAAACTCAGGCCGTAGAATGATTGCCGGACTGTCACCTCAGCAGCCCGTTCACCCGCCGCGCCCCTGCGTGCAGAGAGAGATCTTTGCAGAATAGTGGCATGTGGGGACCTCTGGCAGAGTCCATCGCTCTGCGAACTGAGGCGTGTTTACTGGGTCAAAGCGCATGTGGCTACTGTGCCAACATCACCCAGGACAGTGTCTCTTCCCTCATCGTGCCCAACTTAGATTCACGATGCGTGTCGGCGATGAGTGGGCGGGAGCTGACTGTCCTTGGGCTTTGTGCGGCTTTTGTGGCAGGTGCGTCTCAAGCCCTGTTGTCTCCCACCGAACGCTCGCGGCCCCAAGCGTGCCCTGGTGGCACGCAGTGCTTTTCAAGGCTTTTCTCCAAATTCGGAGGAGTCCGGCCTACTGAGTTTGCTGTATCTTGTTGGGCATATTTCAATGTTTCAATGCACCCTGCAAAGCTGCAAATCTCGTGCCAGAGGCCCCGGTGCGGCTGTCGTGCACTCGGCTCTACTCTCAGCCGACCCATGCTTCTACACAATCCTTCGAGCCCATCCGACAGGTCCTGGGCTCAGCAAAGAGAAAAGATGCCGCACAGCTGATGCAGCCGGCGCAGGGCCGTTTCGGCAGTGCTTAGGTCTCGGCTCCTTGCCAGAATCCCTTCCCACGCACACCGCGCCCGGCTCCTGAGAACCGCAACTCATGAGAGGCTCTGAGGCTGGTCGCTGCGTTTAAGCGTTTTTCAGCCCTCCAGGCATCGAGCTGCGGCCGGAGCCTTTCCCTCCGCGGGTGACCATCGCCACGAGGCGCGCGGACCACCGCGTCTCCCGACTGCTTCGTCTCGCTCTTCCTTTCTCTCGTCTTCTCTTGTTTTCGCCTTATCCGGAGGCTGGCCTCCGTCGACAGCCCACGGAACACGGCGAGGGGACCCGGAACCCGCTCGGAGTGCCCCGTGACTCAGCGACTGAAATCTCAGATCCTGGCGGCGACTCCGCAAGGGGTGGCCACGCCACCCGTGGAAGCCCACGTGCCGGTGAAGATCCGATCCTCGGCTGCAAGGCTGCACTGAGACGCTCTGCACTGCACCGTGCTCTTCTCCAAGGAATGCCCCAGAAAGCCTCGCAGACGCCCCTCGGAAGAAGAAGACAGGAAGACAGGAAGAAGCATCTTCGTTTCCATCTTCACCGGAACCGAGGCCTCGGACTCCGCCGTCGATGCTTCGATCAGGCCTTCGGCTCTCGGGGCCTTTCCTGTCTTGTCTTATCAAGGAGGGAAGAAGTGAAGAAGGTCTATAGAGATGTCTACAGTCTAGAGGCGGCTAAGAAGCACTGCCTCAGAGGCTGGGTCGCGCCGGCGGACCAGTTGTCAAACACAACACCGGTCTGCAATAAAGGCGGGGGTTGCGAGCTGAATACTCATCAGCATGATGTGGTTATTGAGTTTGTTCAACAAAAAATCCAAAGTATATATATATATATATATATATATATATATATATTCGTCTGGTGGAGATGATGCGTGCTTACACTCTGCTAGTATTACCAGTAGCCATTCGGTTGGACGGAGCTGAGACTGCAGTAGCTTAACCACGGCTACATCACTTACCAAAGCCAGCATTCTTCCTATTCCCGTGACCCTGGCCATTCCCATGACCATCACAGTTACAATTGCGGTTGATATTGCAAGTATGGGCAGGAAGTAGCTTTGTGAACACTATTTGTACCTTTGCACTTTCAAAATTTATGGTGGCCTGGTTGTCGATGTTGCTCTTTCTATTGCCGTTGCTGCTGCTGCTGTTGTTGTTGTTGGCGGCGGTGGCGGTGGTGGCGGTGGTGGCGGTGGTGGCGGTGGTGGTGGTGGTGGTGGTGGTGTGGTTGTTGTTGTGGCGGTGGTGGAGAAAAGGGGTAGTAGAAAAGGGGTAGACTAGACTTGTAACGTGGTCAAGCGTTGCTGCTGTTGTTCCGTCAAGAACTGTTGTTTCATTACTCCTTGTTGCTAAGGGTGTCTGACACTACTGGTTTTCCTCATGACGAGCACGTGGAAGTTGGTTCTTCTCAAGCTTGCCTGCTGCTCGGGGGACTGCCGGTGCAGTTACTTTAGTGCATCGACCAACTCAGGCTAGGGATGGTTTTCAATGCCTGTGGAGGGTTTAGATCTGACCATATCTGTCACTGTGGCCATCGGCGCTTTCAGCTGCCCGTGGAATCCGTCGGGGCCCCCGCGCAGAACTGCCTGCAACAAGAGCGACCGACTGCTGATGGTGGTCCGTGAACAGGACATGAAAAGGTTACAGTCAGGACAGACTGCGGTTGCTCATGCTCGCGAAGTGCGGCTGCAGTTTGAGCGGCAGGCTTGTCCATGTAGACAGGGAGAACTTGCACAAGCTGTCAGGGACTCCAAGTTACTAATGCAGGACCGTATAGTTCGGCAAGCATGATTTGTTTATTCGGGGTCTCCCCACGGCTGTCGGGCGGAACTCGCAAGGCAGTGCCATACCGATGCCGGCGTGCCATGTCGGATGTTGTTGCGGCGACGATGGAGAAATACCATAGCATGGCGAAGTTCGGAATGTGTGTGTGTGTGTGTGTGTGTGGGGGGGGCAATGTTGAAGATGACGACATGCAGTGCAGGTCGTCCTGTTGAACCTGGGCCTTTTCGTGGACTTCAGCGTGCAGAACTTCTATCCAAGCTTGATGCAAGTGCCGTTCATGGTCAACGATGCTCTTTGCAAGACGCGGCCACCTTCCCAGTCTGGGTCCCAGACCCAGTTGCCAAGCGGGCCACCTTCGGCCCAGGAGTCTTTAGCCGAGCTTGGACGTGTCCTGGCCTACGCGGACTTTGTGGACCCAGAGAGCGAGGTCATGCATGCCAAGTGGGTGATCCTGCAGGGCCTGAACCCTCGCATTGCAGGATTGAACAGCCGGAGGCTGCGTACATGGGGCACTGGTACATGGGGCACTGAAGGTGAGCAAGGAGGCGAGCCGCGTCGCTGTCCAGCATTCGAGTGCCGCCCGGGCTGGTCTGAGCAATGGCGGTGAAGGCAGGGGAGTGGTGTCATGCGATGATGGCGCTCGCAAGGTCTGCAAGCTCGATCCCCTCTTGCAGGAATGGAAGTTGTCCCGTGCACCTGCAACTGTACGCTGCTCACGAATGATATTCTGTGCAGAAGAAGGAGGAAGCACATGTCGCCGGTGAGCATACATGGCTGTCTCAACAAGCTACACACACGCCTTCGAACCTGCAGAAGGGAGTCCCCACAGAGTTCCAAAGCTCAACTGTCCGGCAAAGCACCCTTCCTCCGGAAAACGGTCCCTTGCGGCCTCCATGCTTTCAACAAGCATGCAAAGCCGTTTCCTCGCTGTACTCTAATAAAGAGCCCGACCTTCCTGGCATCAGTGCACTGTCCTGTGGGGCCAATGTGAGACTACGAGCAATGATGCGAAGAGTCAAAAAGAGTGGTGCATGCAATCGGGCTGATGAGCGCATCAAGATGAGTGAAGCAATCCGTAGCGATGCGTTGTGTAGTCACGTCACCACAAGTAAGCCCAGCGATAGGCTACTGCATGCACACCTTGTGGAGGCATCTCCGTGATACAGAGGCGACGTGAGCTGTTGAAAATGAAAGCACAGGACGCTCGAGGGCTGTACTTCTGCAACAGACTATCACTGTCGCTTTGCCTGTCCTACGCCGGCGGGCTACGCGGCTACGCGGCTACGCGTACAGTACCGCTCAGCTGCCAGGAGATGCGTGCCGTGGAGCGCAAGCTGCGACAGGCCGGGCTTTTCAAGAGTTTTCCCAGAGCGGAAGCTGGGGGAACGCCTGAACCCCAAACAGCCCAGGACGGCGTGGGCTCTCTAAACCCACTGCGCACTGCAAACCCTGTCTTCGTTGTCTTTTTGTGTGGCGTTTAGGGCCTAGGGCTTAGGGCACTCTGACTCCCTTTTTTTTGCCCCGCAGCCCCTTTTCCTTTTGTAGACGCGAGGAGGAGTCCTTGCGGCGACTCGCCGAGGCCGAGCGCGTGCGCTCCGAGGCCCTCGGCGGGCTCTTGGGGGGGAGGGGGCTCTTGGAGTCTCCTCTTTAGGGGTCTTTGGGGATTCAGGATTTAGGGCCTTGAGGGTGTATAGGTGGCTAACTACCAGGCGTCCTTGCGTGCAAGCCAGAGGGCTTAGGGTTTAGGATTGATGTCGGGAAGCCAGCAGTGAAAGTTTTCGGGTTTAACGGAATTGCTTGTCAAAGCGCGACTCGGACCAATAATTCCAGTTGCTGTTTGGTCTAACTCAGTCGCTAAGGGACAGATGATCCCCAGGCTCGCAGCACGTTGTATACACCCACCCTTCCGCTCCGGCTATTCATGAACACGTTGTTCTGGCGGACGTATGTGAAGCAACGACACTCATCTCCTGAGCCGACGGCAGAGCTTACGAGTTACATTTGCATCAGTTTGCGTGTTTTTCGACAATCTCGGGTATCCGCCGAGCCCTAAGCATACACTTAAGTTGAATCATCTCGTCTCAGAGCAATCCTTTACATCACCTCGTTTACAGCTTTCTGTCGTTCTGTGTTATCCGTGAAGCAGAGCGTGGCCTCCGCCTATAGACGAGGCAGAGCGCCAGCGTGCGACGCTCCGGCAACGCAGCGAAGAGGCGCAGCGGAGGCAGCAGGAGCAGTTCGGAGCCCCAGGAGTTCGGCCGCCAGAAACGGGGAGGAATCCAAGGTTTGCCTTGTGGAGAAAGAGTGGAGCTAAGGGTCCTGGCTGTAGCTCAAAGGTTTCGGAATCTGAGGGTTCTTTCCCTGACTTTGAGGCGCGAGAGCCTGGCTGGGGAGCTTCGACGTCTTGCGGAGGCCGGAACACGAAGTGTACGGCGCGGGCTTTCGGGGCAGGAGCGGCCTTAGCATTTTGTAGGGTTTTGTTGGAAAGTTGTGCAGTGCTTCGAAGGCCCAGCTCGGTACGCACGCTGTTTGCTTGCCAGGGAGTTCCAGGGTTTGATGTTGGCAGAGCTCGGCGCCAGATAGGCCAGTCTTGGCAGAAATCTCCTAAGTGATGGCAAAGCGCAGTTCCCATACCCTACCTGCAACCAAAGCCGGACAAAGGCCTTTACAACTTCCGACGCGTTGCACCCCGAACAAACCCTCGAAGCGGAGCCCTGACTGGTGGAGTGGTACCTATGTAGTTCCGAAACATCTTCGTCACGACACCACTATATGCTTGTCATGCCTCCCCGTCTTCGCGAACACGCCATCGCACACGCACACTTGCACAGAACTAGGGAAACTTGTTAATGTCTTATGGCTCCTGTAGAGGCATATACCGTACATACCTATTCAGATTCATCAAAATCCTTTTCAGAGCCCGAAAATTAGAACTCGGAGAAACCAAAGCCGCGGAGCGGAAGAGATGAAGTCGAGGCCAAGCGACAGGTCCGCCGCGAGGAAGCTCTCGAGGTCGCCTCCCAGAGAGCTGTTCTTCAAGTCTTCTCTCTTTGAATTTCTTTATGGGGTCTGCACAGTCTTGTTTTTTAAGTCGAATATTTTTGTAAATGAGGGGTTTGTAGGGAATTACAGGGTGTGCACATTTTTCTAGATTTGGGCTTGTTTGTTTAAGGTTTAGCGTCTTGGAGGGTTCCAGTTTCAGATTTGATTCTTTGTTGTTTTAGGGGTCGGAGGCTTCAACCAGATATGTTTCAAGCCGGAAGATATCCTGTTCAAGGGCACAACTTGAACACAAGAGTGGCGTGCAGACATTGCAGCAAAAAGAGGGCGAGCAGAGTGTGACGAAAGGAATGCCCTAAGAAGGGCACTTTGCAAGCATTCCCTGCACATAACAAGCTGTAGCCTGTGAATGTACACCGCCTCGGCAACCATGTACCAACCAATGTTCTTTGTCACCCTGTAAGACTTATGTGGGCCCTGAAGGCTCCATGTTGCTTACTGGCGGCTAACATGGTTCAGGTGGAGCGTAAGCGTGCTGATGCACAGAAAGCTCGTCAAGAGGCAGCTGCGAGACGAACGCAGGGATGCTGGGCTGCACTGCATTTCATTCCCGCCAGATCTCATTTTCTGTTCGGGCCACTGGGCATCATCAGTCTCGAAAGGAAAACTGCTGGTGGTGGAGGAGAAGCACAGGCTGGCCGAGGAGCCAAAAGCCAGTTCGATCTGGGTCTTGACCCAACATCTGGCCGAATGACTCCCATATGATCATGAAAAGATCCTCAGCCCCAGGTCCCCAAGAGCGAGAAAAGCCCTCGATGGTTTTTGCGTGTCCCTGCGTGTGAGGAGGCCCGGCGCGTCTCAGAGGAGTGCCGGAAGAAGAGGCTAAGCTTGGGCTCCGATCCTGGTGACTTGATCCGCACAGGATGTGTGCAGGTGTTTCGTCATGCAAGGTTTTCCGCTGGAGGAGTTTAGCATGGTTTAGGCCATGAGGTTTTCAGGATGTAGGATACGTAGGCATACAGTATCGCGGGATATCGGGGATTTGGTGGCTGCTTGGTGCTTAGGCAAGCTGCAGAGCCCCGGCCTTCGCTGTGAAAATCTTAGAGGCCGTGGCCGTTCTCCAAAAAGAGTTGCGTTCCGCTGTTCTGCTGGTGCTGTCGTCCTCGGCTTCAGGTGGACGCAGAAGTGAGGTGTTGGATGCCAGGCCGGGCCAAGTGGCAAAGCAAACGCAGCCAACCCACCCGATACCCGGAGCTGCTCTGTATCGGAAACGCCGGAGGCGCCGAGCGGTTCTGGAGCGCGGGCTCACCCGGCGCAGGGCGAAGAGCGTGTGGCCCCCGAGACTTTCGCATAGAAGACTCCGTGGTCCCCGAAAGCCGAGGCCGATGCCGCGCAGGAGCGCGAGGCGGACGGATCAATGAAGCAACTTCATGAATCGGAAGTGTTGGAAGAGGGGGTTTCTTGTTCGTCCTAAACCCTCCTACCTTCGGCCTTCGACCCCTGTGCTCTCTCCAGGCGGAGCAGCGCAAAGCCGAGCAAGAGAAAGAGCGCCTCGAGAAGGAGGAGGCGGAAGCGGAAAAAAGGGGGCCTCGGCGTTTGTCACGAGGTCCATCTCTGCATCTGTCTGTTTCTAGGCGGGTGTTTGTATGTACATAGACGGGTGATGACAGGTGGACAGATAGACACGCAAATAGATAGATAGATACATGTCAAATAGAGAATCGCGCATAGATCAAGTAAACCAAGTATGATCTGAGAACAAAGGAATGAGCGTATTGATTCTTCAACGACAAGTAGGTAGTCGATCAGAGAGATAAAGAGACAAATCATTATGTGTATATATATATATATATATACAAAAAGAAAACATGCCCGCAAATGAATTCACCTTTAATTTCATGCATATATACTTGTGAACCTGTACATAAGCAAAGCAACCGATAACTAGTTGAATAGTTACCAAATGAATGAGCATATGCATACATTACATTCTTTATTCCTTTCATTGATTGATTGGCTCATTCATACATTCATACAATACGCTCATACATTCACACACACACACATAAACATGTATATCACAGACAGTAAGGATACAAAGGTCGTTCTCTCTGCTGCTCTTGCTAGCGACAGTGACAGAGAGGATGGCAGAGGGTGCTAGATGTGCAACAGCGTCAGAGTACTCAGAGTACAGGAGTTTCAAAACTTACACTTACACTTACCGGATCCTGTCAGTGTAGTGAGCCTGTGGCCTGGCCTCCATGCTGTGCTGACGGGTGGCCACGAGAAGGCACTCTGCCGGCCAGAGGATCGTCTTTAGAGATGATCTGCCAAGGAATGAGGCCAGGGCCAGGGAGTATGGCTCTGGCCCTTAGCTTAGCAGAGAGCTCTGATGAGGAAGCCATGCCACCTCTGCATGCTCCACCAGTGCAGAAGCGGATTCCATCGTCAAGAGAGAGCTCAAGTTCCGAAGACTCCATGCCACCCCTGAACCAGCAAGAGCATCAGGACAGGCAGAGTCTGGAGCAAGCGCCGGATGATGAACCCAGCGAAGCCAGTTCGGATAATTCCATGCCTCCTCTTCATGCGCAGTTGGAGGAGGGTGAGGACAATAGCAGCAATAGCAGCGACGAAGAGAACATGCCGCCCCTACACGGTGTCCTTCGGACGGGACACGCGGCCGCAGATGCTGACAGATCCAAGGAGATACCTCAGCCTGCAGAGAGTGCTGAGAGCTTACCAGCTCCATTGCAGAAGCGGATTCCCTCGTCAAGAGAGAGCTCAAGTCCACCCCTGAACCAGCAAGAGCATGAGGACAGGCGGAGTCCGGAGCAAGCTCCGGATGATGAACCCAGCGAAGCCAGTTCGGATAATTCCATGCCTCCTCTTCATGCGCAGTTGGAGGAGGGTGAGGACAATAGCAGCAATAGCAGCGACGAAGAGAACATGCCGCCCCTACACGGTGTCCTTCGGACGGGACACGCGGCCGCAGATGCTGACAGATCCAAGGAGATACCTCAGCCTGCAGAGAGTGCTGAGAGCCTACCAGCTCCATTGCAGAAGCGGATTCCCTCGTCAAGAGAGAGCTCAAGTTCCGAAGACTCCATGCCACCCCTGAACCAGCAAGAGCATCAGGGCAGGCAGAGTCTGGAGCAAGCGCCGGATGATGAACCCAGCGAAGCAAGTTCGGATGATTTTATGCCTCCACTTCATACGCAGTTGGAGGACCAGGAGTGTGAGGACAACAGCAGCGACGAAGAGAACATGCCGCCCCTGCACGGTGTCCTTCGGACGGGACCCGAAGCAGCAAAAGACGAGACATCCGAGGCAATGCCGCCGCCCATGGAGAGGTCTGAGAGCTCCGACGGCTCGATGCCTCCGCTCGATACGCGGGATGACAACACAGACGAGGAAGCAGAAGCCCCTTCCTACGACCTGCACGTCTCGGCTGCAAGAGGTCGAGGCGCCCCGTGCAGGGGGGAGGCAGTTGCAGGCGGACCCGCGGCAGCGCAGCTCTCGCCGGAGAGAGGCGAGAAAGCAGCGGAGCCTGAGAAGCCGCCGGAGGCACCGAAGGAGACGGAAGAGGCGGCCGCCAAGGACCTGGATGCCGAAGATGCGGCCTCTGAGTCTGGGGACTCGCTGCCACCACTCGAGTTCCTGAACCGGGCTGAGACCCAGCTCGAAGAGGATCTGAGTATTGGAGACTTCGTCCATCTGGCAAACTTGAAAACACCAGGTCTCAATGGCCAACAGGGCTATGTGGTTGGTTTGCCTTCGGGCAAGGAGCGGGGTGAGCAGAGAGTGGAGATCAAGATGGTCTCTGGCGGCAAGACCTTGTCCGTCAAGCTCTCAAACGTCTTGCGCTGCGCTCCGCTCGCCAAGAAGCCCAAGAAACCAAAGCAAAGCCTTCAGAAAGGCGACGAGGTCATTGTAAAAGCCTTAACGCGATCTGTGGAGTTCAATGGCCAGAGGGCATTGGTCATCGATGCCCAGGACGTGGATCGCGTCACCGTGGAGCTGCGCTCTGGCCAACACCTCTCCCTTCGACGCGACAAGCTCAAGCCTGTCGACAGCGGATCGGAGGAGGAAGACTCCGATGCTGATCGGAATCAGAGAGACAAGCCCATGCCAGCTCTCAAGTCTCTCCGGCAGAAGAAGGACCAGGAAGAGCCTGAGGAGCCCTTGTGCAAGTTCCGCGTTGGGCAGAAGGTCTACCTTCACCTCAAGAACAAGCCGGAGTTTCACGGCCAAGCTGTGTTCGTCCTTCCCTCCGATCCCCTCCGAGTGGACCCGGGAATGGTCACGGTCCAGCTGGCGACTGGGAAGCGCATCATCACTAAGGGAAGCCACCTGAGACCCGAGCCTCCCGCGATCCAAGGCCGCAAGGCCAGAGGCCGATCTGCCCGGCGGAAGAGCCCCTAGAGATCATCTGCCTCCGTGCTCTCTGTTTGTCTAGCGCATGCTTTTGCTTCCATATCACAAGGCAGCCATTAGCCTAAAGAAAGTGCGCAGATCGCCGTCTACTTCGGCAAATGGTAGAGCAGACGGTACATCGGACCTTGTCTGGAGCTTCGGAATTGAAATGCCCTCTCGACGCGATCTGACACATAGTGTCCGCAATGGTGTACATAGGCGTAGAAGTTTAGCTCCTCCATGGACGATCCTCGTCGTTTTGAGCGGAGGGAAAAAGAAGCCCCAGAGAGTCGCCAGCTGCGGTTCCGAAGAAGACTGCAACTTCAGAGCTGCGCAGAGGCAGAGCGCCGTCGGCTTCGCCTGGAGCTTCTCGGCACCCGGAGATCTCTCATATCTCATGCTGCTACTTGAGACAGCTTATTGTTACACTCAGTTCGCTCCTGACGGCTCCTGGCTCACCGAGGCAGCAGAAGCGCCGAGCCGAGGAGTCCAAGCAACGGATTCAAGAGGCCATGCGAGATCCCCCGGTATTTCGGGCAGAAGGGCTTGTTGAGGGAGATGTGGGAGGGGCGCAGGGCTTTTTGGGGGCTCGTGGTCTTACGGTACAAGAGCTCATGACAGTTTCGTCTCGCACGAGTTTATAGAGCCAGCGTCTCTGTGATTCTTTGGGCTTGTGAGGCCGGAGGCGCTTGGCACGCTGTCTTGGGCCTCACGGCGACGGCCACACTTCAGGAAGTGAAGTGGCCTGGCAGAAAGGGAGTTTCAGGGAGTGCAGGGGAGTGGGAGAGTGCCTCTCAAAGTCAGAGATGTTGGCGTTGCTTAGGCAAGCCTTCAGGGACTTGGCCCTGCTCCATCATCCGGACAAGGGCTTCCAGAGCTGCGATGACACGCCTCTCGGCTCGGAGGGTCGTCGGATGCTTCGCTTCCTCGTCTCGGGCTCTTTAAGAGCTCGGGAGACGGGCAGGGAGACGGGGCTCTTAGAGAGAGCTTTTGGGGCGCTGAGGTTCCGTGCCGTGCGCCTCGCGTATCAGCAGGCGATCTCCAACTTCGAGAAGGCCAAGGCAGCTCCCTGGAAACCTGAATGTTTAAAGTTTCAAAGTTTCAGGCACCGGCCTCTTTGTAGGGGCGGGGCAGGGGGAAAAGGGAAGGGAGGGGGGGGGGGCGTTAGGCTAGGCCGGGCTAGCGTTGAAGATGCAGCGTTGCTTGTTGAAGGCTGCGGGAAGCTGACTGAGAGCTGCAAGGGTATACGATTCTTCGCAATACGCCCGTAGTGGGAGTTGCGGTTGCAGGTTGCAGGGCCCACCAGTGGCCTACCTTTTCCGCATAAGTCCTACATTCGCCGGCCTGATAGGCACATCACACACGGGCTTTTTCAGCAAAAATCTTCAGCAAGCCTTTGCAAGGCAGTCGTGGCATGCAAAAGCTAGTGCACGGCCGTACTTGAAGTGAGAGTCAAAAGTAGGGAGGCGACGCCAACAGGCGTCCCTGCTCCAAATTAGCTCCCCGGCTGTTATAGGCAAGCCCCTGAGCCTTGGGTTAATCTGTTCTGAAATTGTACGTAGTATGAATATTAGTAGAATTCGAAACCATTGTTGAATTCGTGAAACTCCGGCTAGGGGTTAATTCAACAGGTCCTTTACGGGGCATTGTCCCTCTCACCTTTTCCGGCTAAAGCCGCCAAAAAGGCAGTTTCACACGCGTGGGTGAAGCTTCGGTTGCCCGTGGCGTTTGCCACAAGTCTTCCGATCCAAAGGCACTATTTTATCATGATGCCTCTGGTGTTCTGTCCCTGACATTTCTTAGTTGGCAAGGTCTGTTGAAGCTGTTTTGTGGCATGTCCCTGGTGTACTAACACGTGCTGAATGTTGCCAGCAATCAACCCGTACAGTATAGTAGTCGTCGGGGTGGTGTAACCGCTTGATTCATACATCCATGGATGGAATCCTAAATGTTGCAATAAGCGCCCTATAGACTTGAATTACTCACCAAACGAGGGTTCCGAAGCGAGAAACCCAGGATGTCGTAGGCCCGCTCTCACAGTGCGCCGTTTCTTCGCCGCGGTCGCAACGATCTCGCGATGCCTAGGCGAGAGCAGCGGGAAGTAAACAGCCATGCTCAACTTCTGACACGACCCACTTGTGCTGTGGCGGTGCGGCGGAGTCTCCTTGCGCGGTTAAAGTTCTGAGGCTGGTTCGGGACGACCTCGATGCCATCGAAGATGGCATCTTGCACAAGCTCCGGCACCAGCGACAACAGGCAGAGTTTCCTTCCCCTTATTTTGGATTCCCAGTGTGACCTGGATGAGAGGACACATTGGCCTTATTGTCTGAGCCCTAAGCCGATTGTTCGGAGATCTGTCAGGGCCGCTCCACATCGCTTCCTCGAAGTCTAGGCTGCGCAGGCGAACCCACTTCTGGCTGCGAGAAGCCTCTTGCATGCCCGGAACGTTTCGGTACTTCCCAACTTCATGTCTGACATCCTGCACTGGTAGTGTGATTTGCATGCTGAAGAGTAAGATCATCTTGAAGATGCGACAGTCTTGGTATTTCATTTCATGCTTGGGCAGTTTCAGTAGTCGTTTTTGCTTTCAGAAATGGCATTGGGCCATCAGGACGGCGACCGCTGACGACCCACAGCACCAGCCAGCCAAGCAAGGTGCCGTCTCACCTCTGAGTTTTGTTGGAATGACGGTGGATACCTTGTTTGGAAATTCAGGAGTCAGGGGTCCTCATGGCTCCTATAACTTATGACAGGGATCTCAGTATGTAGGCTTTAGTGTACCGCCACAAGGGGGTCTTTTCAAATTGCGGGTCTCGCCTACTGTAGGCGTTCAGCCATACAGTAGGATCCAGGCTCAGGCTTCGGTTGGCATGGAGAAGTATATAGCACAATAGTTGCTGTTTGGCAGCAAGGAGAGGCATCACTGCGAAGAGCATCTCGCAATGTGAGAGATTTGTTTCGCATGTTATGCGCATGAAGACACGATGCATAAAGACTTTGCACGTACATTGTGTTACATGCGGGCATAGCCGAATTAAATCTAAACCAGTCCGTACACGGCTGAAACCCGGCCGAAGTCCGCGACGAGATGGGGGAAGTCAGGAGGGGCGGAAGGATGTGGAAGAGGTCAGGCCGTCAGGCCATAGAGAACACTACCTCTCGCTGTGCAGACTCTTTGGAGCAGTCGACATGATCGCCGAAACCGGACTGGTGATGATGATAATGATGATGACGGTGAGAATGAGCACCCTTAGCATTAGCATCACAGTCATCGTCAACAGCATTACCCGAACGAAGGTGAGCGCAGCAATAAGTACATTTTGGAGTGTCTCCTGGAGTCTTTTTTTCGCATCGCTGCAAGGGCGCCCATCTGCAGATGTCTTCCACTGCACCGCAATTGGGCTTGCGCACGTCCAGGCCTCAAGGAAATTTCTGTGTTGAGGCAGTTCGATCGCGATGGGAGGCCAGTCGCGCACCGAGGCTTCCAAAGCCGATGCTGCAGAAGCCGCAGGACTGCTTCGACCTGTGGCGAGAGCCTGCCGGCTGAAGCGTTGAAGGGCAGAATGCTGCGTACGACGATTGTCAGAGCAAGAGCTAACACAAAAGCTCACATTCATCCAGGTGTTCCTTACGGCATGCCTCAGTTGGTAGCGTTGGTAGCTGATGATGGGTAGCATAATGCCTAAACTATGTGGCACCGTTCCCGTCGTTGCAGTGCTTCCTTCACACCCGCCCCTACTGCCTGGGCAGCTTCCGAGGTACGACACCATCCAGCACGTGTCCGAAGAAGTCGACACCTGACTTAAACGGAACGGGCCGGGTGGAAGCAGAGAGAGAAAGAGAGTGGTTGTTTGCAAGCAAAAGAGAGATGTTGTGGCTTCTGCTGCAGTGTGCTGACTTCTGAGGATTCACATTGTATCGCTTCCTTTCCACCATGCACTTGGCATTTGGTTTGAAAAAAATCCTACCGAGCCTATACAACACGTGAGTGGGCCTGTCGACCCCGGGAGCTTCGAACTTGCCCTGGAGGGAGCGAGAGAAAGAGACAGAGAGATCTTTGACCCATAGCAAGCAAGCAAGGAAGCAAAAAACAAAGAGATTGTGTGGCAGCTCGCAGCTTCTAATGCTTCGTGTCGGCTGCATCTGAGGAGAAAAAGCGGCAGAAGCAGGCAAAGCGATTTCAGCGTCCTTATCCCCAAGCCCGGTTCTTGCTGAGGACAAGGCCGAGAAGTACCGTCAAGCCTTGGACTTGCAGATGAAGCAGGAGCAAAAGAGCAAAAGCGGGGGGCAGCAGTCAGTAGCAGCCGCGGGGGGAAGACGAAGACAGCGCTGAAAGCAGGCGCAAGCTCAGCGTGAGGCCGAGGCCAAGCTGGGAAGCAGCGGCTTAGCGGCTTATAAGCGGCTTCTTTGCAAGACTAAAAAAAGCAGGACGTGGAGAAGCGGCGAGACCGGGCAAACATGCTTGCAGAGGCCTCTAGACTCTAGTGCTCACAAGCTGTGATACTCGTAGCTGTCGCAGCTGCATCCTTTGATCTCAGATGGAGCGTGCCCAGTCCGCTGCGACGGAAGAGTGGGGAGCCCGGGATCCCAGCTTTCAGCGAATACTTCGTCCCGAAAACCCCGGAGGCTCCAGAAGCAGCTGCAGAAGAAAGAGATGCTGAAAGAGGCGCTCCTTTTACCCCGTAGGCCCTAGGTCTTTTCCTTTCCAGCAGCACTTCTTTGGCCTAAGCCTGCAGGCCACCGCGCAGCAACTGGTGCGGGCCGAGCGTCACAAGCGGAGTGCGGCGCGGCGGGCCCTCCGGGATCAAGAAGCGCAGGGATTCCCAGCCCAGAGGAGTGGGTCAAGCTTCGCCGCCTCGAGAAGTGCGGAGATGCTCCAAGTGAGCAGCATAATGTAACACTGGCTTTTGCCGGAACCTCGAGAGCCAGAGAGAGAGAGAGCCTGTGCCCGGGAGAGAGAGAGGGAGAGAGACAGAGAGTGATTATGTCTCCTGCATTTCCGGATTGCCGGGGATGTAAGATGGGTGTGTAAGGATGGATCGCACGCTAGAGCTGGAGGAGCAGTTCCGCCAGCAGGACACAGCCCTCGAGTGCCTGAAAGCCTCGATGACACAGCAAATTCCAGAGGATGTGCTCCACAAGAATGAACTAGTGCCAGTCTTGTCCGAGTGTGAGTGTAATGCCATAATTTCCTCATGTTTGTAAGAGTGAAAGAGGAGCTGATGGAGCGGCAGCGACGTAGGGCGGTGGAGTCCCAGCTCATGAAGACTCAGCCACAGCCTCGCCAAACCTACTGCTGTGCTTTCTGAGTGTCGGAGGCTTGGCATCTGTGTCGCATGCAAGAGATCCCATGAGAGCTTTTGTGTGCAGCACTGACGGCTCCATCAAAATGCAAAGACAAGTGGTTTTCGAAGGTTGACGCAGGTGACACAATGTCTGTATACAATGATCCCATGAAGGTTTTAATTTCTGGTTTAGAGTCTTGATCAGCCCAAAAGCCAATATCGCCCTCGCGAAGCAAACTGCTCGTGGGCCACAAGCTTCAAGCGAAGCTTGGCGGCATTGAATAGCTTTCGGTGATGACCATGCCATTGAGTTGATGCTGATCGCGATGATGTTACTGATGATGGTGAGGCCCATACGGTGAATTCTGCTGCTTGTGACGCTGGTGATGCTGATGGTGGCACGATGACGATGAGGCCAGTAGGGGTAAACCATGGTCATGTCCAGCACGAGAGCGTTGTGGCCTTCAGGTGCAATCGTGGACTTTGCTTGCTCCCCAGAATGAACCTGTCGCCCGAGCTCAGCATCGCGCTTCAACGCATAACAGCCTGCAACAGAAGCGAGCGCTTGTTGATGGTAGTTCGCGACGATTTGATCAAAAGTTTGCAAGCCGGACAGATTGCAGTGGCCTACGCGCACGAGGCGTGGATGCAGCTTGAGCAGCTGGGTGCGGACGTAATGTCGATCGGCAGGTTGGTGGGTTTCGTGGACAGGGACAAGCTGCACAAGGCTTTCAAGGACTCCAAGCTGCTGATGCGAGACAGGGTGGTGTGGCAAGCTATGGGTCGTTTCCGCACGATTCTGGACACCCAAGTGATCATGGACTACCTGGCGGTCATCGTCAACAGCGACAACACACGGCTCAGTCAGCTTCGGAATGCCTATTACAAGGTGGGGGACTGGCGTGTTTTAGGATTCTTGATCCCTGTGCTATAGGAGGACACAGCACAATTTCGTGTGGACCCGGTACCTAATCCCAAAGCCGATACCTGTGATTCATGTAGTATAGGCACGCAGAGTCGACACGAAATGCCCAGGTGGTCCCCCTCTGTAATATCAGCACTCGGTCATGTAAGCATTGCCGCCGCTCAGGTGCAGTCCGATGTAGTTGCGGCCATGATGGAGAACTACCAAAGCTGGGAGAAGTTCGCTCGAAATGTGTGTGGCAATGTGGAAGATGAAGACATGCAGGTGGTCCTTATGAACCTGGGCCTTCTCGTGGACCTCAGCGCGCAGAACTACTACCCGAGCTTGATGGACGTGCCCTTCATCGTCAGCGATGCTCTTGCCAAGACGCGGCCACCCTCCCAGACGCAGTTGCCAGGCGGCTCCACCTCCGGCCCAAAGATACCGTCTGACGCCATCAACCTGCAGGAGTCTTTGGCTGAGCTTGGGCGTGTCTTGGCCTATGCGGACTTCGTGGACCCAGTGCACGAGGCACTGAAGCTGAGCAACAAATCCAGCCTCGTTGCCATCCAACATTCGATTGCCGCCTGGGCCCGTCTACGCAACGACATCGATGGCAGTGGAGTCTTGTCTTGCGACGATGGGGCCCGTAAGTTCCGCAAGCTCGATTCCCTCCTCCAGGAAGAGATCCTCCTCACCTGCTATGCGTTCCTCGGGAAGGACGGTGCTGCAGACTTTGGCCTCGTGGATCAAGTCATTCGTGAACAATGCGAGTCGAAGAAAGACATGCCACAATTGAACATTGAGGCCCTCCTGACCAAGCTGCATACGACGCATTCGCACTTGCAGAAGGCAGTCCTCACAGAGTTGACATGCTCGGAGAACGTGTGGAAACGTACCCTGACGAGGATTTCCCAGCTTCGGCGCAAACCGCATACTTGAAGTTCTTTCGGGACACAGTGTTTTCTAGACTCGATGCGACAAACGGCAATTAAGACCTGATTGCACACCGTCGTTTCGCTGAAGCACAGGGCCATCTATAAGCAAGTCTGTAACTGTAGCCTGAAAGGGCAGACATTTTTGAAATTTGCAGGTTGTGCACCACTGTTCAGTGGGCCGTGTGCCCGCCATAGTGTCACCACGGGAAGCGCGAAAGGAAAGAGCGGAACAGGCGGCTCACAGTTTTCTGCTTTGCAGTCGCCGGACGTTCGTCTCTTCCACTGCACTTTGCAGCCAACGCGGCGTCGGAACCTTCTTACGATTGCGGTACTGAGGTTCGATATGTCCCAGGCCATGCAGGAGCGCATGAAGCGGGAAGAGAAGGAGGCTGGCCTTGTTGACCTTGCAACAAGCAGCACCGTGGCGATTGCTTCTGCGATCAACCAGTGACGTTCGTACATGTTTCTGGCTCTTCACCCGTTCTTGCCTTGAGAACACGATTCGCGCTTGGAGCTTCTTCCGCTCAGTACAATCAGGCGGAACCCGAACTCGACCGGAGCCGAACTCGAACTTACCTCGCTCCAACCCCCCTCCCACGCAAATGGCTGGAGCGCTCAACGCGAAAGCGACCTTCAAACTCGCAGCGGCACTCGAAGGGGAATGCTTCAAGGTGTACCACAGCAAGTGTTGTTGCGACATGTTGTGTCGCTGGTTAGTCCTGGCAGTGGTTCACAGTGGCTCACCGACTTTCTATTGGTATTGGCAGTAAGCTTCCGAAGTTCTTGCCTCGAGTCTTCCAAAGCCTGAATGCCTCAGAAGTGTTCTTCGGAGTGGTGCGAAGACTAAGATCTTCTCTGACTCAAAAGCATGCTGCCCACCACTCATGCAACACAGCCCCCAACCTACCTCAACACCTCCAGTAAGCATGTGGTTACCAAGCGAAGTGCGGCTAAAGCCCACGACCAAGCAGGTATGCACATCAGACAATCAAGTCCAAGATGTCGGGCATTCTTAGCCACAAGTCGGCTTTAACCAGAGCTTGAACGAGGTTTCTGTGTGTTGTCGAGGATGCAGGTGATCAAAGAACACGGTGATTTCTTGGCACTGCGGATTCGAAAGAAGGGACCGTGACATGGAGCAGGGCCGCGGCGACCCAACTAATGGCAGGTCCAAAGTCGGAGAGGCTGGGTGCCGTCCTTTTGGAGCCCTCAAAGACGCACAAGACGGCGCTTGCGCGGGATGCGACTCCCGTGGATTGCTGAATTTTGTTCAGCTTTTTCATCGGGGCGGGCCGAACCAACAGCAGGAGAATAGAGACTCTTGAGAGTAGAAGATGCCAAAGCAGAGGGCAGCCTAAAACTCCAGGTTTTCACATGCGAAGGATCAAGGAGCCCGGGTAACTCCCAGTATCGACGCGCCTGCGAAAGATCGTGTGTCCTACTTCCTCGTTAGGACTAGGCTCTGAAGCTGTTTAGAAACAAACTGGAATGGGAAGGGAAGCCTTTGAAAGAAGCATTGCATCATGTCTTCTTGGTGTGGGTCGGATCTCGCTCGCCTGCACCCAGTCGCTGTGCTGCCAAAGCGAATCCACCCGCTGCGCTTTAGGGCCTTACTGTACCCTGAACCCCAAACCTACACTCTAGACTCTAAGCCCTAAACCCTTGGGAAAAACTTCTGTTCAAACCGTAGGGTCTGCCTCAGACATCCTTATCGCTTGCAAAGTTGTGCTCATCTGTGCGAGGAAGACAACCAAAGAGCCTTGGAGTGGATGCGGGCGACGTGAGATCCTTAGAGAACCTCGGCGCATGTGTGTCTGTGTGTGTGTGTGTGCCTTTCGGCAGTTTCCGTTCGCTCGGAAAGAGGCGAATCATGTCCTCTCACTTGGGCGATATGAGGACTTGAGGAACATAACCCAGGCATGCAACACCTGCTGGAACAGTTCAGGAGCAAAAGGGCAGCTTGCTGTGCGCATGGCATTGAGGTCACGGCCCCAAGATGCCGAATTGTGCGGCGCCCGGCAGCCGGCAGATGCCGGCAGATTGCGATCTTCGCATATCCGGCCCGTCGGACAGAGACGGCTGAAGCTTCACTGCTGGCAAGGCCCGGAGGCATGCTCCACAAGATACGTGAGAACCAGAAACGCTCAGCACTCATCCGTCATGCAGTCACGATCGATATTTGATATGCTTTCGGTCCTTCGACTTCGCGTCAGCTCGCGCCGGCCAGGTGTGGACACTTTGGTTGGCACGATCGGGGTGGCAATGGTCGAGAGACAGCGCGCCCAGGACCATCATCCATCATCATTCAGTTGTGGTCCGCGGTGTGCAGAGAAATTCACACGTCCTCCTATGCATTGGTGTTTTTGAAGAGCTTTACACTCAGACTTTCCGTTTTGCGTTGGCTCAATGTCACAGGGGCAGCCGGGGCCCTAGGACGGGGTCCCGCAAGGGTGCGAAGCCGGCAAAGGGCGGAGCCGGTGTAGCCGCAGCCATTGGGCCATGCCACGGCGCCGGTCGCCGTCGAGGTCCCAAGAATCAGGAGCTCGTGGCACTCATAGTTTTGGGGGGCACTTTGTGCACTTGCAGGTCGGACTCCAGACGACGATCTCCTCCGCGGAAGTCGCGAAAGGTCGCCGCTTCCGCTTCAGATTTTTTGCCCCGGCCCTGCCCGCTACCTGATTTTCCTTGCAGGAAAGCCGAAGTAGGTCGGCTCCGCGAAAGGGAGGGCGAGGAGGAGGAGGAGGTGAGGCCAAGGCCGCCATGGCCCTTTAGCCCCTGCTTTCCAAAAAATTCCCGCCCTGCGTGCCCCTGCCCAGGACGAGAAGTTGGGGCCGCCCTTGCCAGAGTGGGGCAGCATTGGCATCATCCAGGACCCGCTTCAAAACATGTATACATCCTTTTTCGCCCCGAAAGTCCCTTCGTCTTTGGAGGAGCTGAAGGCCGCAGGGATCGGATTCATTCGACCCCACAGCGGGAAGGTGGATGACAAAGACCTCTTCTTCCACAAGTCGGCCTTGAAAAACAGCCGCTTCGCCTCACTTAGCCTTAGCTGGCGAAGGCTTCGATAAGGGTGTGGGGGTTGGTCGTGGGGTTTTGGAGTTTAGGCGGCTTAGGGCTGGGAGAGTCGCGGCCCTTCCTTCCCTGCTCTTGCGAAGCGTTTCAGGCAGTTTTGATGCCCTCCAAATCGGCGACGAGTGCACCTACGAGGCCGTTCTCGATGAGGCGAAAGGCAAAGCCGCTGCCAAAAACATCGTCCCTGGACGGCACTGTGAGTAGGTTGGATCTTTCCGTATAAGACCATATAGATCATGTAGATCATGCCCCTTCGCCCAGGTTCTCAAGAACGGCGCCCCACCCAGGCCTGCAGGACAGGAGCATCCAAGACTAGCTCTGAAGTTGCCACTGCAGGCGCGGCGGCGGCGGTGGCGGCGGTGGTGGCAGGGACGATTCGCGCGATCGGCGTCGAAGATGACTCCGGTGCGTGGTCCGGCGCGAAGGAGGGTAGCCGGGTTGTGGCCGCAAGGCCTTTGCACACCGTGCTCGGATACATCCATGATCGCTGCAGCCTTGCATGAGGTCTGGATGCTACGCCCTGACTCACTTCTGAGTGGAGTCGAGTGGGCAAGCCCTGAAGCTGTCTGGGTGCTCAGAAAACATGTATGTCTTGAGCAGATGAAAGAAAGCTCTTCGAGCAACGAACGCATTAGGAATTGAAAGTGTTTGGAGCGACAGGTATGCGCTCGCCAGCAGGGCACCCCCTTAGGCCTTAGACATCCCGCTGGGCATCCAAGACGTCTTTCCGAGTTGGACCGCGCTGGGGCGGACATTATCCCGCCAACTTCTGGTAGATGGCGATAAGACAATAGTTTACATGAGATAACCGGAGTGAGCTACGTTTGATGGTCCGGTCTATAGGTCTAGGTAAGTCACGGCTTGTTAGTTCAAGGAGCTAGACAGAAGTCTGCTGTTGAAGCACAATTGCGGGGCAGCTGGCAAAAGCCCGTGCCGCAGTCGCCCAGTGCTGCGAGACGTAGAGAGCGTTAGGAAAGCGACTCGCGGATTGCAACAAGAGGGCGTGCCAGCTTGAGGGCTTCGGGTTAGTACATAGCATCTATTACGATGTGATCTTTCCTCATTAATACGAATAAAGCACAAAACAACAAGACATGCATTCATATGTTATGATGATGTATCTAAATATTATGTATATATGTATGTATTGCACTTTATTGTCCCATATCATGTTACAGCATATGATATCGTATGAAACTATGTTAAAAGTCAAACCTATCTGTTTAGTTCATATTATTTGTTGCAGCTTAACAGAATGCATTATTCTGTATTTTATGATATGTTGTTCTGTTCTATACATCGTTTTAAAAATATGTATACACATATATCTCTATACATATACACACATACATGTGCAGACATTGCTTGGCTATGCACTCCAGGACGAAGCGCTGGACCTCACCATCGATCGAAATTTCAGGCCGTTCGAAGGGTGCGCAGTTTGAAGGAAGTTGGGGGTCTTGTGTAGTACTCTTAGATCCCCAAAACCCAACCTTTAGACTTTTTGGGCTCTTATAGTTTAGTAGGATTGGAAAGTTTAACCTTTCATTTCTGTGGCTTAGTGGGTAAGTAACTACTGGCCCTGCTCAGGGCCTACGAGAAGAAGCAGACCGCGGACTTCTTCGCGAAGCTTTGGCCTAAGAACTTCGAGTCCCTTACACTACAATATAAGCAAGTTAAAATGCATAGTACATGATACATTCATGATGTTATATATATATATATAGATCTATAGATCTATAGATATAGATAGATGGCCTGGTCTAGTCGTCCCTTTGCAGGAAGGCGGAGCGCAGGCGGCAGGCGAAGGAGCTGCAACCTGCCTGCAAAGGAGAAGGGCAATAGAGTCTTGTCCTCCGGCTCCCTTCATCAAAGGGGAAAAGGGGGGACCCTTAATGGGGACCCCTACCCTATAATGGGGCTATATAATGAGAATATAAGTCTTCGAAGTTTGAGAATACATGTTCTTCTCGGTGTACTGTGGAGCCCTATGGGAGTACAGACGAGTCTTGATCTTCGGCGCTGACAAGCCTTGCCTTTACGGTTCCCCGGTTGCCCCTTCACCCTTCTCAGTCTGTTCGCGCTCGTTTGCTCCACGGTACCACTACTACTGCTACTACTACTAATACTACTACTACTACTTCTACTACCTCTGCTCCTCGGTAGGTTCGTGGCGATCAAGCAGCAGGCAGCCGAGAAGAGGGAGAGAGCTCGGAACCCAGCTTCCAAGATTCCGCCTTTTCTTGGGCTGGGCCGGGCCCCTTTTTTTGTGGTGAAGGGTGGGTTACAAGGGCCAAGGGTCCACCCCCAAAGAAAACGAAGTGCAGAGACTTGGCCAAGTGTTGCCTTAAATCCTGCTGTTTTCCTGTGCTGCAGGGCTGGGAGGACAAAGAGGCGGACCGGTGGCAGGCACGTGGGTTTCTACACCGGGTTTGTACAGAGCAAGCTTTGGGACCTTGTTGCTGAAGGGGAGGGAGAGAGGCCTGGTCATCGCTTCAGGAACTTGGGGGTTTGGGACCATTTGCAGGAAGACCTCAACTTCTTTACGACCAACCCCAAGACCTCCAGACCCAAGCCAAAAACTATGGAGGTTCCAGCTCAAAGCCCGAATCCCAAAGCCCGACACCCATAACTACCCTTAAAAGGGTGGTCTCATGAGCCTTGAAGATCTAAGCATGAAGCGAGAGCGAGTGTAGAAACGGAGTGCAAATTGTGTGCAGCCTGATGCTGGCACCGACACTGCTAGAGCTGAAAGTCCAGACTAGTCACGACCAGTCCTAAGTCCGGAAGCTGGGGAAAACTTTCTAAGCTCTGGAACCGAAGGCTTCGCTTAGGAGTCGGAAGCTTTGGGCAATACGCTTGAAGCTGTACCTCCACATACTTTGGGCAGAGGACTTCTAACGTTCTCTCAGACTAACCCTGCAATGCCGGCTCGTCCGCGCTATGTGGGGAGGCAGCACACAAAAACGCGAGACTTAGACTTCATCCCTCAAGAGAACCCCCCCAAAAAGGCCTGCAACACCCTGTTCCTTGCACATAGATCCCGGAGACGGTAAAGAAAGCGAGCAGTGGTTCCTCCAGGCGGCCACTTGGCGCAAGCAGGATGCCGACTTCGCCGAGTCCCAGCGCCTGGCTGCGGAGCGAACCCTCACGGCGCGGAAGGAGGGCAAAGCAAAGCAAACCGCGAAAGGGCCGAGTGTTGAGTGTAGCAGTTCAAAGAAGAAGAGCCACTAGCAGTAGCAGCAGTCGTCGTCATAGTAGTCGTAGCAGCAGTAGCAGCAGTAGCAGCAGTAGCATCAGCAGTGATGATACATACTGAGAATAATCAGTATGGGTCCCTGCGCCTATTTTGGAGTCCCTCTTGGGACAGTCTTCGGTCCGCCCAGCTCGTTTTGCAATCGGAATTCTGGACACGCAGATTGGCAAGCGTAGGGTGAGCGCTTCGCGGCGCTGTTGAACATTGAAGCGTGCGCGCCATGGCCAGGGCGTGGATTCCGTGGCATTCGCGGGCCCCCTGCCTTCAGTCCTCGAGTGCAGGAGATGGATGCCAACCTCTTTGGCGCCATGCTGGCGAAAGCAGGCGCATCTCTCGCTCTGCTTGGTTCAAGAAAGCGGCAGCGGTGCACTGCCAGGTGCGCACAAGATGGAGCAGGGAGTGTCTGACAAAACCCGGCACCGCGAGCTACTTCTCAACAGGCCCGGACAGCTCAAGCGGACAGCGATGTGCAAAGCAGACGTTTCGCAAAAGGCCCCTGGTTGAGCGGATGGCTCAGTCGGGCTTCAAGCCCGAGAAGACCGTTGAGATGCTCCAGCAGGTCCAGGCAGGTCCAGAAGTCCGGCGGGGACCTCCAGAGCTCTGAGTTCGGACTCGGACGCAACGCAAGCCTTGTGAGGCCGCGCCCCGGGCGCCGAAGCTCTGAGCCTTGAGGCGCCCCGCCCAGTCCTGCAGTGCGCGGGGTTTCCTCCTCGCGCGAGATGCCGAAGGCATCCTGCAGGAAAGCCCCCTCCCCTCCCCCCTCCCGAGTCTCGTCTCGGTAGTGCGCGGATCAGGTCGGTTTTTGGGGGGGGCGGGGAGAGGAGGGGCGATTAGACAGCAGCTTGCCCAAGGCAGAAACGCTGGAGAAACAGAGGTCTCTCCCGTCAGATCTGCAAGCGCAACGGGGTCCTGCTCGAATAAAGAAGGCCAAGAGCCAAGAGGGGTGTTTCTCATTTTGCGCGGTCTGAAAGACAACCTGTAAGGCACTAGTTTCGCAGACCCTATAGATTGCTGAGCTCAAGCCGCTCCGGCTCTGTTGTCAGCTTTTCCCGTGCACGATGTGTCGGAGCGGTTCAAGCTTTGCAGTGTTCGCAAGCACAGCTGGCATAAGATGCTGACGATGATCCGGACCTGAATCCCTAGCCAGGGGCGGTTAAGGGTGTTGGTCTGATGGGACATCTGCTATGGGAACACACAGGGCAAGCATGTGTCTGAAGGGCATAATCGCGAAAAAACTGTAGCGAATGCCTAGCATTTCTATCGGAGCTTAAGGGAAGTTATGTGTAAATGAAGATTGGATGTAGCACGAACTGTTCACACTAGCACCGTGCCAAGACTGCGGTTTTTTGCAAGGTGAGCCGATAAGTTATGCCTCTGCCTCACACGAAGCTGTCAAGCCTCCAGCTCCTACACAAGCATCTCCATCCCAGGAAACGGGGCTGAGAGCGTGCAGACTTGTGCCAATGAAAGTTGATCGAAGACCTTGTCGGGGGGGGGGGGGCCTACGAAGCACCGATTTTTCAGAGGATGGCGGAGAACGGGGGGGCACGAACTTGTTTTGGAGGCGTGGGAGGCGGGAGGAGGGTGCGAGTCGGTGCGAGGGAAGTGAGGTGGTTCGGTTGGTGCGGTCCCTGATGCTGCGGTTCGGTTCGATTCGGAGCGGGCGGTTCGATACGAAACTCGGTGAAAGTATTGTTGAAACGGCCATGGTCAAGTGCGAAGTTACAGGCTTGTGGTGGATGTGGTCTTGAAATCATAGCAGCTGCAGCTGTGACGGTACTTCCGTTCTCGACAGATTATAAGCGCTTCTAGACGTCAAGCCTTCACGGTCACATTACAAGGTTCAATCAATGTAGTTGCCTGATTTCGGACAAGATGTTTCGCGGAAGCAAGTAAAAACAGTAGTATGTCAGTATGTATCCGTGCTGCATTGTTTTCTGCATCTTCTGCTCCTAGCTTTCGTTCTTCTGCTCCAGCTGCTCTCAAAGCCCTCGTTTGTTCCCCGGCCTCTGGTTCTTTCGCCACAGCGCCCTTTGCGCCGCATTGGCATGGCATTGCCGACGCCTCAAGCCGTGAATAGCGGGAGATTGCGACTGCAGTTCCACGTGAGGTCGGGCCAAGACTTTTGAGAGCCGTTGCAGCACGAGTGCAGCATGCGAATTGCAAGTGGGCAAGGAATCGAACACATGGGAACACCCCCACCCTCCGAAAAACAAGTGGCTGGGAAGGGGTGCTGTGTCCGACATCCAGCCCAAATCGTTGACAAGCGGGATCTCTAGCCCCCAACCTAAAAGAATTTGACCAGACCGGCGATCCGGATCCCGAGCCCAAACTTCCTCAGCATGTTACAGCTAAGAGAACCCCCCATCTTCAACAGCCCAGCCGAAAACGAGACCGAACCCGACTCCAGCTTGATGACCGCCCAGCTCTAACGCAGAACCTCAACCCCTCCCCGCCCCGATCCTTGCAAATCGAGGACTGATGACGGTCAATGAGCGTGGAGCATGGATGCAAGGCCGAAGGCACAAAGCAGAGCATTGTTTGCACAAGTTATGATACAATGATACTACGTACCAAATGGCAAGACGATCGATTTGCTGCAAACTTGCTTGAACCGTGCCGAGTTGGGCTGTCAAAGCAGCCGTTGTAGCTGGCTGAGATTTCGGAGGATTTGTTGCATGAGATCCGGCGCAAATCGCTGTGGGGAGCATTGAGCATTGCCGCTTCCGTACCTGCGTGGTTGTTCTCGCGGAGCAGAATTGGCATTCCAGTGGCTCAAAAATGCACCATGGCCATCTTAGTCGGTGCACGTGTTGCGAAGTCGCTTGCAAGGCATTCAAATCGTAGTCCATTGTTGAGGAGCTGCTAATGGACATGCCATCGAAGCCATTTAGCCACGTGCTGATATTTCGTCGAGCAGCCTGCATAGAGCATAGAAGCGAGGATTGCGTTCGTTGTCAGCTGGTTCTCCCTCTTTGCGCGGAGTAAGGGATGGATGTCGTGCCTCATACAGTCTAATACAGTTTGATAGTAGCATGATCGGGCTCTTTCTTTGTTTTATCCCTTGCTCAACCTCGGGCTTATGGAGGTGCAGCAGCGCAGACGACAGGCGGGCCATGGACCTTGAACCTTGCTACATCTTGCGAGCCTTCGGATTGGAGCAGACCGCCGATGGAGGGGAAGTCAGAACAGCGCTGTCTTGAGCAGGTCAAGATTCACACGTATCGCATGGACGTGGATAGGACGAGCCTTCCGACACTCCTCCACAGTTTTTGCGCGGGATGTTGCGCAACTCATGCAACACTATGCAGACCACGGCACATGACATGCTTGCCATGGCCTCCCAGTACTTGAGCATGTGCCGCAGGCCTGCAACTCCAGCCTGGGCCTCGCTTTGGGCATGCTTATGGCTCGCTCAATGACCGGTTGCTTGGGTGATCCCGGCCACGCCTTGCAAGCGAGAGCAAGGCCACCGATCCGAGGATGGATTTTGTTTCTCAAATCCCTTACTATATCCGCATTCTTCTTCCTAATTTGCTGTTATCAATATTTACGGCATTTGTTATAGTACTCCTATAGTAAGCCAAATTATCAGCCGACCGCAGGCGCTGGCTTGCTCGCTTGAAGACCAGCTCAGCTCGAGCTGCCGCAAGGCCACGACATCAGCTTGGAAGCTTGCACAATTCAAAGTTAAAGTTTGATACACCAGTCCTGGTCATAGTCATTACAGTAGTGCGTTAATTCATGAACTCAATAGGCAGCCCAGATGACAGATAGGTTGACCAGTAACTCACATGCAAAGTTGTTACAGTAGATGCAGGATCTAGGTATAGAGGAATCTAGGCACATACATACAGACGCGTATTCATGCATGCTGCAGGCTTGAGTATATGCGTATGTAATGACCATGCATGTACGCATGCACCAATGCACGTCGGCATACATGTATGTACTGGCGCACGATTGTACGTGCATGTGGGTGGTGTGCGCATGTGTATCTGCACGTAAATGTTCGGAGCGACTGCACCTACAGACAAGGTTTTAGTGCCTCGCAATGCCTTGAAGACAGCATGTGCCAAGGGACACCCAACCTGACCGAACCTGGCTTACTGGCAGCCCTAATTACACTTGGAGTTTCTTGCTTCATGTTCAGACCGTATGCTGCATCGTCCGAGTTGTGAGTGCCGAAATTTGGTTGGTGCGCAGCTGCGGACTTCGACGAGGGCACCCCCAAACGACGTCCGTGGAAAGCCCCTGGCTATGATGGGTGCTTTCATGAAGCGGGTCACAAACAGCAAGCACATAAGAGGCCATCTCGCAATCTGCAAGTCGACATCCAGACGAAGGGATTAGCTGGGAACTCAAGCCGGTGCATGTGACAGGACGATTGCTCAAACGAATCTGGAGGATCTGTGATGCAGCTCATGTTTGATGGCAGGTTTGCATGCTTTCCGGAGGCAAGCAGGTAATTAAGCAGGTCTGTCTCGCCGTATCGCAGCCATCTCCACGGCCCAAGGCTAAGGAAATTGCTTGTCTTAGATTAAACGATGGCAGAGCGAACGGAGCGAAGTTTCAGTGATGCTTCAAGCCAAGAAGGCTCCGAGTGGGAACGAGGAGAGGCTTCCGGGAAGGGCTCTCCTGCCCGCGAAGCTTCCGTTGATTTACTTGCTTGATTTGTCTTGACTTCTTGATGCCTCAGGACGCAGCATTGAGGACTCGCAGTCGGTCGTCCAGGACTTGCTGGAGCGCGCCGTCGCATCCATCCAGGCCTCGAACAACCAGGCCAGCCGTCGTCGCGTACGCCAGCGGCTGCAAAGGACTTCAGAACTTCAGGGCCAGGGCGAGTTGGCTTGGGGCCTCGGGGTCCTCGGGGGCGTTTGCGATGCGCGCAGGAAGCTCAGCGACTTCTTGGCCAAGGACCAGTATGATGAGGCGATGCAACAGTTCAAGGTCCTGTGCGAGAGACGGCTGGGCTACGTATGGCGAGTGGCCGACAAGCATGCTGAAGAGCCTGGCGTATGCTATTTGCATTTCAACGAGTTCAATGGGCACTTGGAGCACTGCTTCGTTTGACTTTGGGCACAGCTGCCTTCCTAAACTGAAAGGCGCTTGTGGACTTCCAGATGAGATGCTCTTGCGTTTTTGCCGCGAAGGTGGCGTCGTGGCCACCGTCTCCAATTTTGTCGAACAGCATCTCTGATGCTTGCCATAAGATAGTTGCATGAAATGTCAGCGATTCTGCCTGCTACAGAAGCGGGCGTCCATGCCCACAACATTCGTGGGATATCTGTACAGTCGTCAAACGAGGGGTGGAGTTGTTCCTTACATGGGAGCCTTTGAGGGGCGAATGCCAAGGCTCCGGAGCTGGGTTTGCTGGGGCGTCTTCTCTGGAAGAAAACGTATGCGGCCTCGGGCCTCTTCTTTGCATCTGTTGGCATCTGTTGGCGTGTTTCGCAAGCCTTTCAAGTCCAGAGAAGTCTCCCAAGCAGCCGGGGGAGTCCAAGCCCTGTGGAGTTCTAGGTTTTTCTAGAGGCCTTTTGCTTGATACAATTTGAGAAGACGAGCGGACGCAGCTTTGGACATCCCCGCTGCAGCCCACCGAAGACCCGGTGACCTCGATGCGTGACCGCACGAGAGAGAATGGCGCCGTGCACATGGTGTCTGTGCATTT